AGCCAATAAAGTCTATCTAAATAGACAATAAAGTCTATCTATCTGAACCTTAGATTTAATTGAATTTGTGTTTTATGTAAATACATTCAGCATAATTCAGTATTTGGGAAGATGCAAGTAAATGCAGTACCGGTCACCAGTGTGACTAATATGAATTTGAACAATACAAAATTAGTATCTATGAACAGGCAACCGCCAATACTGTCTTACTCATCTGAGGTTGCAAACAAATGTAACGCATTAGAGGAGTGGATTATAAAATCTGTGTTATTCAAATGCATGATATTTCTATGCTGATGTTTCATAATAATTCTTACTGTTAGATTACCAGAATTTCAAACACCAGAGGGGTAATAATAGCTGAAACTTTGATGAACTGTATTTTAAATCAAAAACATGTATTACTCACGAAAGGACATCTGTCGGTTGTGACTCATTTGGAATCATAAAATGTTTTTCATCTTTTGGAATCTTTTCAATTCGAATAGAAATCATTAAGCCCGTACATTCATTTTTACTTTATTTTCCATCAAACTGTTGATACGACTCTTTCATTCAAAAAAAAGTCTCTCCTTACTAACGAAATTTGAACGCTATCCTCCATGTAATTTGTGCACAATCATACAGTATGATTACCATCTTCATTCAGGTTTTAAGACCGCCCTGCAGTTGTAGGATGCAATTCCAAACTATGACGGCCTTCAAACCCGAATGAAGATAGAACACTGAAAATGTCGGCCGCGAAAGCCTTGATCAATTTATCAAACAGTATGAGTCACATTTAGATTCCATTGAAAGTTTGAGATGAAGAAGTCAAATAATTGAAAATGGTTCATATGAAAATCATCAAATCAAAATTATCGTATCAAAATTGTATCAAAATAATTTTTTAAGATATTGATAGGACGGTTGCCCGGCTGGGTTGATGTGGTTGCTTTGCTCTACTCACTCAATCGATCGCTGTGTGAACCGGTGGATCAAGCCGCGAGGCCAGACGATAAATTTTCAATTCCTATCATCCAACCCGTGCGTGGAAAAACACGTTGGAAGGTATCACCTCGCACTAGTTTTGACTTTTGAGAATTGTCGTTCATATGGGGGTGACAGCTGGTTAACAGTTTTCAAACAGATTTTTTGAACAGATTCAAACATATCAAAGAATGTAAACTTTAACGGCTGAACCTACATGCACAATTTCAGGCTACGAAAATATACCGATATCAAGAAACAGTGATGAAAAGGGACCTTCATTCTATGAACGCGCTCTTTTCTTCAGAAACTGGCGCCCTAGCTAGAATACCCAAAAATTTTTACTCATTGCATATCTACAACATAAAACGAACCTACACACGAAATTTCAGCCTTCGAAAACATAGCGATACGGATAAACAATGATGAAAAGGTATTTTTTTTTAATAAAGCACAAGCACAAAAAATCCTTAAGGTGCTCTCAAAGCGGTGCCTGTGCGAAAGTAGCGATTCACATTGGATTTGAATTGCTGGAGATAAAATCCATTTGGAAATACGTTCTCAGGAAGTTTATTTCATATAAACGCAGTTCTCCAGATGGAAGAGTTCTTGAACAGTGAAGCTTGAGGTGTACTGAATTGAACCTCAAAAAGATAAGCAGTCACAGTCCGTCGCGTATTTCTGATATGTGAACGATCCCAATTTACCCCTACGAGGGATGCTTCAGTTGAAAATGTTTCCTTAGTGCGCATTTAAAACCTGAGAAACACTTATAGACCAAATTTTAGCTTTCTAGGACTCACCAGTACGGAGAAACAGAAATGTATGTGTGTTGAGTGACTTTCGCATTTATGAGTATAGATTAGAGGGCGTACCTGGGTTTCTCTCAATTGGATTACCTGACCTTGTTTGTGCACCTTCTAGAACAGGTAGCCAGAATTTATTGTCGTTCATTGTTTCTTATTTTCTATTAAAAGTATCCCTGTGTTTTTGAATTTCTATCGCTTTTCAACACACCCATGGATAGTAATTTTGAGTTTTATCGAGTATCACTGTATCTTCAAATGAGATAATCTGATTGCCTTATTTGCTGAGAGCATGTTAGGCTACAACTGATTTGTCGGTTGGTAGTTTGATGGTTTTTGATACAGTTATCTTTAAAATACAAATTGTTATCCATTAAAAAATTTGTATTTCATCTTTCCTCGAATTTTTATTCGGTACTTTGATGAGCTGTCGCGAATGATAGGAAGCGTTGTCATGAACTATTTCACTATTCGCATCCAAATTATTGAGGATCGATACGTTTTTAAACGTATCGATTCTAAATAAAGCTTCTATGTTCTTATGATAGTCAACATTGCAGTCGTTTCCATCCTTTACTTCCTCCGCAATGCACAATGATTAGTTGCCATCCTTTGTTTGCAGGCATGTTAAGCGTACACATTCTCGAACCATCAGTCCACCCTTTCGTAACTGTGTCGTGAATGTCATACCAAGTTTCGTTCAAATAGCAAATGGCCCGTTGTTCTTCTCTATATTCAATTATTTGTTAGGTAATTCCACCATTCCTCTGCTTTCCATAACTGCTGGACGTTTGTTTATTATTTTAAATATAAATCCTAGTTTCTTTATCCATTATTTAAGAGTTTTGTCACAGCAGCTCACATTATGGCCGGAAGTATTCAATTTTTTCCTTATTATTTCAGTTGTAGGAATCTCATTGCTTTTGTAACAGTCGTATATTATTTTCTTCAATGATTTTATTAGATGAACATCTGAAGGTTTTGGTAATCCAGTATCACATCGCGTCTTGCATTCATTAGGTTTTATGATGCACTGATTGGAACCTTTGGTGTAGTAATGAATATTTTGGAGTTATTGAAGATGATCACTTGGTGATCGAAACACGTGTCGAGGTGTTAAAAATAAAGATTTGGTGTTGGGGAAAGAAACTCCAGTAATATTCATTAGGTTTGTTTTTGACTATTTTACTTACAGGTGAGAAAGGAATTTCAGTCAAATCTGATGTTGCTTGTAATAGTTTGTTTCCATCGAAACCAAACTTGAGAAGTAAATTCTTATCTGCATTGAAACATAGTGTATGTGTTTCAATATTCAAATGCACCCGAATCTTATTCACTGGTATCTGTTTTTCGCAGTGTTCACCATTGCTATTGGAAAAAGTATGCGTTGTTATTACATTCGTTATTACTTTTAGTACTTGTACGAGGACGCCACATTTTGAGCAGATACCAAAAATTTTAGATAATTATAACAACATCAATATCGAATTTTAACATTCAAATCGCGATTAGTTCCTGAACTGAACACGACGGCGATAACCATCCCCGCATTCCACGATTTCTATCCGTCATCGTAACATGACTTCAAATTCAATTTAATGACACTTCAGCCAATCATGAAACTCGGTTGGTAAAAATTATCCAATACGAATTGGACTATTTCGCAGCCGGTTCATTTCTATGCATTGGTTTTTTTGGCCTTTGAGAGTGCCGCTTACTTTAAATGTTCACCACATTGTTTACTTCGACTATACCATTGACACGTCTCTTTACAAGACCATTCAAGAAGGCTGGAGTCCCTTCGGTTTCCCGTTCCATTGTGAATTGAATTTTTGGATCGAGAAAGTATAGTTAAAATATAAATTTGTTCAGTGCCTCTTTATCATTTTGACATACCAGAAACTTGTCATCAACATGGCGCAGCCAACAGTATGGTTTCATCTCAGGCATAAAAAACTGGAGATCAAGACCAAAAAAACCGGTAAATATTTTTCACTCAGAATGAGATATTGTTTCAACAAACAGCGCTGTTTCGAACGCCCGAGTGCACTGTGTTGCATATACATAAGACTCAATTTACGAATGTCAAAGACAAACGAGGTTTCTCAGAGCGAGCAGTTGCTTCTATAGCGATCTATTTTCACTGCAAGGTAACTAGGTTGCCATTACAGTCCAAGAAACCACAAATCGCAATTCAACAGAAAGTTTTGACAACAGCACTGTTTTGACCCGTCATGGGTATCGTAGCATAAATGCATTGCAGTACTCAAGTGTACTGAAAGGACAAGCCTTGTTATATTGCTATCCATAAATAATTGGATCCGGTCAGAGAAGTACTTTCGAAAAACTCAAGGCTATATAGATGAATACGAAGTGGTACTGAGATGCCTCAAAAATAATGACAGAAACTAATTTATTCAACCGTCTCCATTTTCAATAGGAACTATCTGAATGAATTACCTAGAATATGTATCAAAACTGCGAGACTCGGATAGATGATTCAAAAATATTTTATATTTTTCCACGAAATATATCTCTTTCCCTAACAACAAACACTACGTAAATCCTCATGTTGGTTCATTGTGAGTACGGTTATTTTTCAGGCGGTGGGTTTATTTGTTGGTCTGTTTTCCATTAGTGATTTTGAAAGTGTGGTGTCATGTTGATACTTCGCTCTCCCAAGGTCTGATTGATGAGACATCACGTTCGTGACATTCTGGGCTCAACGTGTTAAATTGATTGTGATTATTTTTGGCACAGCTTCGCTACATTATCAGATGTGTTACATGAATGAACGTGAAAAGCTGGAAACTCTTTGCGGAAAGACTTGTTGGAATTTGTTAATAAAATAAATGTAATAATGAGCCATAGTATAGTTGGTGATTTTTTTTGTATTATGTATCTATGTGAGGATGACCATTCATGTCGGATTCCATATAATATAAATAAATGGAATATTCAAGTTAAACTTCAACTGAACGTCACAATTAGAAGAACCAAGGAGTCCTGGCTTCAGAACAATTTCCTTGAAAATATCAATGATTGAAGGATATAATCAACATATCTTTGATGTGGAGATGGGTATGGATATGTAGTTAAACTTGTTTGACCTCTAATCTCCGCTAACTTGTACAGAAACCTCAAAAACTACAGTAAAAAATGTTTTGGTAGCCTGACATAGTCTAAATATGGATCACAATTTTTTTTCAGTATATGCTTTTGTAGTAAAGTGAAAAAATACTCCATTTACTCAATAATCAATCACAAAAATTTACAGAATACAATACATAGCATTCGATCGATTCTAAAATCAGGACCATTTATCTTTTCGCTGTCTGGTAACTCGCTTTTACTGTGATGACTTCGTGTCTGTGAAGAAAGATCTGAAACAAAAAAGGTGTGTGATACAGTTAGTACCCTGTAGATATGAAAAGGCATCTTTCTGAAATGCAACACAGGAGTTTCTCTTAGCAAGACACACTCGTGTTTCTTACTCACCTGACAAAAATAGTAGCAGATTGACTGCCGCCAAGAATTCTGGCTGAATTCAGGAAAATGAGGCGCCAGTATCAGAGCACATTTTTTGTGTCTGCGACACCTTGAACTGACTAAGTTTCCAGCGTTCAACAGATGAAGTTCCATTCTTGCCAGCTTACCTGAAACGAAACTTAACATATAGATTAATCATCTTGGTTGAGATGCTGGACTCATTCGGTCGAGTTTAATTAGGTGTAAGTCACAATACACCCTCGCAGGTTCTAGTGGAGGGTCCACCTTCCACCTGACTTTGGACCAATGCTCACCTCCAGCTTGAAGTTCTAGTGGGCTTAGTACCCTCAATAATTACCCACAAAAATTCATGACATACAGAACGTATCATTCGATTCATTTTAGAATCAGAACTGAATTTCTGAGCCATATTTTCGCACCACTACTCGATATATACGGGTAGCTTGAGTTCGTTTAGGAAGATACGTCTACATTTCAACGAAGTACCGTTCATTTGTCTGTGAGCGGCTTACAAATCCGATTCTGACGCGAAATCTACGATGTTGTGTTGTGTTGCAGTGAAGACTATGTGCCTCTGCAAATATAACTTTTTCAGCATCACGTATGTGATCTTCAGGATCTTGCAATGAAGTATACGGTTCATTTGTTTGTGAGCGGCTTGCGAGTCCGATTCTGAAGCGAAATCTACGATTCCCATGTTGCAGTGAAGACTATGTGTCTTTGTAATCACCTATAAGGGCTAGTGATTGGAGTTCTACAGTAATTACGCATGTGATCTTCGAGATTTTGCAATGAAGTATCATTTATTCGTTTGTTAACGTTTGTAAAGTCCGATTCTTGAGCGAAATCTACGAATCCCATGTTGCAGTGAAGTATATGTGTCTCAGCAAATATATATTCTTCAGCATCACGGATGTGATTCTTGAGATCTTGTCAACTGACGTGAGCAGATATATTTGTGATAAGTCACCTATGTGGGGTGCTACAGAAATTATGCATGTGATTTTGGAGATCTTACAATGAAGTACCATTCATTCGTTCGTGAATGGCTTGAAAGTCCGATTCTGAAGCGAAACCTACTTTTTCCTATGTTGCAGTGAAGACTGTGTGCCTCTGTAAATGAAACTTCTTCAGCATCATGGATGTAATCTTTGGTATTTTGTCAACTGACACCAGAATATATATTTGTGATGAGTCACCTATAAGGAAAAGTGATTTGGGTTCTACTGGATTCACGCATGTGACTTTAGGAATCTTGCAATGAAATCTATGATTCCCATGTTGCAGTGAAGTCTATGTGTCCCTGCAAATATAACTCTTTCAGCATCACGGATGTGATCTTTGGTATCTTGTCAACTAACGCCAGCAGGTATATTTGCGATGAGTCACCTATAAGGGAAAGTGATTTCTTCAGGAATAACGCATGTGAATTTCTAGATCTTGCGATGGAGTACTGTTCGTTCGTTTGTGAGCGGCTTGCAAGTCCGATTCTGAAGCGAAATCTACGATTCCCATGTTGCATTGAGGATTATGCTCCTCTGCAAATATAACTTCTTCTTGTCAACTGACGCAGTTGATAAATTTGTAATGAGTCACCTATAAGGGGTAGTGATTGGGGTCATACAGAAATTACGCATGTGATTTTCGTGATCTGGCAATGAAACACCGTTCATTTGTTTGTGAATGGCTTGCAAGTCCGATTCTGAAGCGAATTCTTCGAATTCCATGTTGCAATTAAGACCATGTGCCTTTGCAAATATAACTTTTTCAGCATCACGGATATGATCTTTGGTTCTTGTCAACTGACGCAAGCAGATATACTTCTAATAAGTCACATATGAGGGGTAGTTATTGGAATTCTAGAAAAATTATGCATGTGATCTTCGAAATCTTGCAATGGAGTACAGTTCATTCGTTTGTGATCGGCTTGCTGATCCAAATATGAAGCGAAATCTACGATGCCTTTGATGCAGTGAAGAATATGTGCCTCAGCAAATATAAATTCATCAGCATCACGGATGTGCTATTTAAAATTTTGTCAACTGACGCGGGTAGATATATTTGTAAAGAATCACCTATGAGTGGTAATACTAAGGGTTCTACAGGAATCACGCATGTGATCTTCGAGACCTTGCAATGAAGTACCGTCCATTTGTTTGTGAGCGGCTTGCTAGTCCGATTCTGAAGCTAAATCTACGATTCCCATGTTGCAGTGAAGACATGTTGTTCCTTTGTGAATATAACTTCTTCAGCATCACGAATGTGATTTTTGAGATCTTGTCAACTGACGCAAGCAGATATATTTGTAGTAAGTCACCTTCAAGGGGTAGTGATTGGGGTCTACAGGAATCACGTATGTGATTTTCGAGATCTTGCAATAGAGTACCGTTCGTTCGTTTGTGAGTGGCTTGCCAGTCCGATTCTCAAGCGAAATCTATGATTCCCATGTTGCAGTAAAGATTATGTGTTCCTGCAAATATAACTCTTTCAGCATCACGGATGTAATCTTTGGTATCTTGTCAACTGACGCGAGTAGATATATTTGCAATAAGTCACCTTTAAGGGGTAGAGATTGGAGTTCTACAGAAATCACGTATGTGGTCTTCGAATGTGATCTTCGAGATCTTGCAATGAAGTACCATTCATTCGTTTGTGAACGGCTTGTAAGTCCGATTCTGAAGCGAAATCTACGATTCACATGTTGCACTGAAGACTTTGTGTCTCTGCAAATATAACTTTTTCAGCAGCACGAATGTGATCTTTGGTATCTTGTCAACTGACGCCAGGAGATATATTTGCAATAAGTCACCTTTAAGGGGTAGAGATTGGAGTTCTACAGAAATCACGTATGTAGTCTTCGAGAACTTGCAATGAAGTACCGTTCATTTGTTTGTGAGCGGCTTGCTAGTCCAATTCTGAAGCGAAATCTACGATTTCCATGATGCAGTGAAGAATATGTGCCTCAGCAATTATAAATTCATGAGCATCACGGATGTGCTCTTTGAATTTTTGTCAACTGACGCGGTTAGATATATTTGTAATGAATCACCTATGAGTGGTAGTGCTTAGGGTTCTACAGGAATCACGCATGTGGTTTTCGAGACCTTGCAATGAAGTACCGTCCATTTGTTTGTGAGCGGCTTGCTAAGCCGATTCTGAAGCGAAATCTACGATTCCCATGTTGCAGTGATTACATGTTCCTTTGTAAATATAACTTCTTTAGCATCACGAATGTGATTTCTGGGATCTTGTCAAGTGACGCAACCAGATATATTGATAGATAGATAGTGATTGGGGTTCTACCGAAATCACGCATGTGATTTTCGAGAACTTGCAATGAAGTACTGTTCGTTCGTTTTTGAGCGGCTTGCAAGTCCAATTCTGAAGCGAAATCTATGATTCCCATGTTGAAGTGAAGACTGTGTCCCTGCAAATATAACTTTTTTCAGCATCATGGATGTGATCCTTGGTGTCTTGTCAACGGACGCGAGCAGATATACTTGTGATAAGTCTCATATAAGGAGTAGTGATTGGGGTTCTAGAGAAATTCTGCATGTAATCTTCGAGAACTTGCAATGAAGTACCGTTCATTCATTTGTGAATGTCTTACAAGTCCGATTCTGAAGCGAAATCTACGATTCCCATGTTGCAGTGAAGTCTGTGCGCCTCTGCAAATATAACTTCTTCAGCATCACGAATGTGATTTCTGTGATCTTGTCAACTGACGCAAGCAGATATATTTCTGATGGGTCACCTATAAGAGGTAGTGACTGGGGTGCTACATAAATTACGCATGTGATTTTCAAGATCTTGCAAAGAAGTAACGTTCATTCATTTGTGAACGGCTTGCAAGTCCGATTCTGAAGCGAAATCTACGAATCCCATGTTGCAGTGAATTCTATGTGCCTTTACAAATATAACTTCTTCAGCATCACGGAAGTGAACTTTGGGATTTTGTCAACTGACGCAAGCAGATATATTTGTAATGAGTGACATATAATGGGTAGTGATTGTGGTTCTTCAGAAATCAAGCATGTGATCTTCGAGACCTTGCAATGAAGTACTGTTTATTTGTCAATGAACGGCTGGCAAGTCCAATTTTGAAGCGAAATCTACGATTCCAATGTTGCAGTGAAAATTATGTATCTTTGCAAATTTAACTTTTTCAGCATCACGAATGTGATATTCGGTATCTTGTCAACTGACGCGGTTAGATATATTTGTGATGAGTCACCTATAAGGGGTACTGATTGGGGTTCTACAGGAATCACGCATGAGATTTTTTAGATCTTGCAAAGAAGTACCATTTTTTTGTTTTTGAGCGGCTGGCAAATTTGATTCTGAAGGAAGTCTACGATTTCTGTGTTGCAGTGAAGATTATGTGTCTCTGCGAATATAACTTTTCCAGCATCACGGATGTGATCTTTGGTATCTTGCCAACTGACGCCAGCAGATATATATAAAATAAGTCACCTATAAAGGGTGGTGATTAAAGTTCTACAGGAATTACGCATGTGATCTTCGAGATCTTGCAATGCAGTGCCGTTCATTCGTTTGTGAACGGCTTGCAAGTACGATTCTGCAGCAGAATCTACGATTCCCATGTTGCAGTGAAGACTATGTGCCTCTGCAAATATAACTTCTTCAGCATCACGAATGTGATCTTTGAGATCTTGTCAACTGCCGCGAGTAGATATATCTATAATGAGTCACCAATAAGGGGTAGTGATGGGGGTGCTTCAGAAATTACGTATGTGATCTTCGAGATCTTGCAATGAAGTACCATTCATTCGTTTGTGAACGGCTTGTAAGTCCGATTCTGAAGCGAAATCTACGATTCACATGTTGTACTGAAGACTTTGTGTCTCTGCAAATATAATTTTTTCAGCATCACGAATGTGATCTTTGGTATCTTGTCAACTGACGCCAGGAGATATATTTGTGATGAGTTGCCTATAAGGGCAAGTGATTTGGGTTCTACTGGAATCACGCATGTGATTTTCGAAAACTTGCAATGAAATCTATGATTCCCATGTTGCAGTGAAGACTATGTGTCCCTGCAAATATAACTCTTTCAGCATCACGGATGTGATTTTTGGTGTCTTGTCAACTGACGCGAATAGATATATTTATACAGTCTGATTCAGTTGTC